AAACTTTGTATAAATATTCACCTGATTATATATAAATAAGCAATAAAAAATTGTGTATAAATATTCTTGTTTTATAAAATGTAATTCTTTGATGGCGGGGGGAACATTTTGCCGCCAAATATGTCGAATGCGCCACACGTATGTTTATTCATTTTTGTTTTCGCAACATTCTTGAAAAACACGTTTTTTTAAATATCCGTACTCTGCTTTATGCTTTTTAATTTATATTAATTTTTATATTATACCCTTTATTTCTTTTATCTTTTTCTGCGATCAGAAAGACGGGCTTCTAAATCCAGGTATTTCTATCTATGAGTATTTATCTATTATTTAACAGACGATAAGTTTATCAAACAGGATGGCGTTGATTTAGGATATCAAAGTTACATGCAAGTGTGTTCGCTTTTATCTTATCTTTCTTAAAAATGTTTAACTCTAACTTTATCAAGTGATTACCCTGCTCCATTTGCTTATTTTTGTCTTCATTTTCTTTATTGTTTTAAGTCATATTCCACACTTTTTTGCTTGTGACATTAAGATTATCTTGTTTTGCTTTTTATTTAGAATATGTATGGGAATGCTGATAACTATTACGGAGCATTGTTTTCTCAACTCTCTTATGGAATGGGGGATACAAATAATCCGGCAATAGCAGCTCCTGTGCAGCAACATGCGAATGCAGTTGGAGGCATTCCAAACTCTACAAATGACAGTAGTTATCTAGCTCTTGCGGCCGCTCTTGCTCTTGCGGCGGCCGTAGATTTATCAGCTCAACAACCTCATTCAGTTGCGAACGCAGTCCCTCAAGCTCAGACAACGAGTCAGCATACTTCCTCTCAGCAACAAACTACTGCTTATTCTGTTGCCTTGATGGCTGCGCTTGCTGCTGCCGCAGCGACCTATCCTCAACCTTTGCAAACTATGCCAAGCCACGCTACTGATTATGATACTTCAAGCGGGCCAGTCTCAGCAAACGCTGCTGATTACATGATGTATTATTCTGGTGGTGATCCACAGTCTGTTGCTTCCACTAATGCTGCATCTTCTTACTATGCCCAATCTGCAGGTGAGCAGGACTAGTCAATTTGATGATGTTATTGTTTGTTCACTTATTTCGTTTTTGTTCCTGTGTTTTGTTTTAATTTAAATGCACTATTATTAACTGAGTTTTATTTATGCTCTAAATTATTTTGTACAAGCTCATTTTGTCTGATCCTTTTCTTATAGTTACTAACGCTTCTGGTTGGGCTCAGGCAGCTCATGATAATCAGCAAACACCATTCCCCGCATATCATACGAATGCTGTAGTACCTATTTCCGATGTAGCTGAACGTTGGAACAATCAGCCGATTAGATCTTCGAGTGGTAATGCATACATCGATCATCAGTCACCATCACAAAACTCTTCCTACATTAGGTCTCAACAAGCTTCTCAACATTACGTTCCACCCCATTTGAGGCACAGTCAGCAACAGGTTTCTTATCCTACTGCAGTCAGCCACCCTCCCTATACAGGATTTAACCAAGAAATGATCACTCAGCAACATCTCTTCGCGTCACAACAACAGGATGTACTTGTCAATGGGGAACAACAACTTGTGAACAAATTTAACCAATTCTCTATTCATTCTAAACCTGTTAGCAGTGATGTCAGTTACGTCGTAAGCCAGGGACATGAAAATAAAATTTCTCAGAAAAAAGGGGAACAACACTGGCATTCATCTAGATCTGTACGTGAGGGACCTCTAACTAATGGAAAGGTACTTTTTCTCTTCACT